AATATGTTGAAGTCATTCCTAAACTTCGTCCATAAAAACATATATACCAGCCTTTAATTCTTCACCAACAGTCAATTGATACGATGATATAACCTGGATAACTCTTTCCATAAAAGTTGGTTAGTTGAGGCACCGAAAATATTTCGTCTTTTTTCCTGTACCAAAAAGATAACTAAAGTTTACTATACAGAAAATTAAGATTCCTCCAAATGTGATCCTAAACACATTTGTAATGTTCAATTAATTCCTCCTCAGCATTACATTTCGAACTAAGTGCTTTATTTAACACTTCCACTTCTAACTACGGAGATATTCGTTTTTCTTATCTTGCTCCAGCTGGCTAAGTACGGAAACCTACGTTTTTTTTTTGCATACCGCTGGTATGAGTGTCCCGTAGCGCCATCTATCGTAAAATCACAAAGGACAATGCTTCAAAAGATATCATGTGTATACCCATTAATGATCTGGTAAGTCATTCCCAGGTATATCTATAAAAATGGAATGCTGTAAAACACACTGGTGTTAGTTTTCTGTGTAATAAAATATGTAGGTTGAAATTTGGCATTTTCTTTAAAAATGGCTGTCCGGATGGGGTTAGTACTGGGCAAATGAGTAGCAGTGAAAGTGTTAATAAAATTTAATTTTATATGAATTAAAATATCTTCTATGTTAAGATTTAACATTTCCTGTTTCATATAAAATGTTTTTCGATCTTCATTTTTGGCTGTGAATTTCGGTTTCGTCTAATCTTTATTTTCACTTCATAATCAATAAGCAAATGAATTATTAAACATATAATTATATTCTGATAAGACCGCCATCCAATCGATTCTCTTATAAATCATACGCACACATTTTTGGTTTTCATATATTATTTTTAGAAATACTTAAAAGTGGGGGTGTAATATATTCAGAGTTTCTTGTACACATAATAAATGAAGGCGCTTATACATACATACATATATATATATATATATATATATATATATATATATATATATATATATATATATGTTATTTTTTTTCTTGTGTTCTTCTTGTTTTTTGAATACAGAGTGTGTGTAGGAACTGTCCAAATATCCTACTTTCGGCTATACTTTTAGCCATTATCAAGGATGATTTTATTTTTTCAATTAAATTGGGTGTGTGCGAGGTGTTCATGTTTTTAGTGTTATAGAGATGCATACACCGTGCCCGTGTTTGTAGTTAATATTATCAAGTGTTGACCTTTTCTTTTTTATTATTATGGCTGCCATTTTATTTTAATCATTTTTGCATGTGGATTATGTTATTATGTTTGTATTTTCGACTAGTATGTTTCCGATAGAGTCTGATAAGTTTGTGTGTGTTTAAATGGGTTCTAATAGAGCTATGGTCAGATAGGTGTAACGTAACGCGTCTGGATAGATATGTAGTCATGTGACTGGTGGAATTATTTTTATTTTTTAAGATAAGGTTAGCTGTTTTAAATTTTCTTAATAGACAATTAATTAGATTTTTTTTATTCGAGTAGATTGGGGTAGTGTATTTCTTTATAATATTTCTGAGTTTATAAAAAGCTAAAAGTGAGGGAGTGAAACAATAGTGCTTATTGATAGCAGTTTAGTGAAGGATGGTTGAGGTGTTAAAGTGATTGCGAGAGCTGAAAAATTTCTTTTCGACAACAACTGTCAAGAGTATAGGCACAGCATTTCTAAGCCTTCTACGAGTGAGGAGTAGAGGAGAAAATGTGATAATAAGAGATTTTAAAGGTGAAGTTGGAATAAATTCAGACGATAGTTATAGTAGTAATTGGGAATGTGCTAAGTCAGAACTGAATTGAATATATTTAGGTTACAGTTATCACTAGTTTTGAAATTAATGAAAGCCCTCTTTGGAATTAATGTTATGAACGTTTGAATTTATATATTATTTTCGTTCTCATTATTCTATTCTATATATATATATATATATATATATATATATATATATATATATATATATATATATATATATATATATATACTGCGGGCCAAATTATTATCAAGATATTTTTTTTGTCTAATCAATTCACACAAAATTTGCACACAATGTTAGCAACACTGCGCAATGACTGAAATTTTCGTACTGATCTGCGCAAGATAAACAAACTGGTGCCATATTTGTTATCAGTACGGTGATTTGAGCGTGCCAAATTATTAGAAAGGTTTAGTAAAATTCCCAGAATTGTGCACACAAAACGTTTATTAATGCTGCACGTGAATGTTTATGATCAAAAGAAGCTAACAAATAAGATAATCAAACAAATAATAACAGATGCAAACAAAGGTACATTTTTAAAAAAATTAATAGGGAATGTGCTTTCCCTGTTTTGAAATCACTTGAAGAAGTCGACGATCCATAGAATTTGTTAATTGTAGGATGTCATCTGCTATAATGCCGCGAGATATGTCAAGAATTGCTTCCCACAACTCAGCGTTGCTCCTGAATTGTCGTCCGTTGGCTTACAGTTTTCGCTTCATGATGCTCCAAATGTTTTCGATTGGGTTCAAATACGGAGAATTTGCTGGCCACTTCATTTTTCGAGGTCCATCGAAGCCTAACTGTTTCAAATATTCAGTAGCCTTGTGAGCAGCATTTGAGGGAGAATTAACTTGCATAAAACAATAGCAACTCTTTGACTTTTCATCCACGATTCAAGATGCTCCTTCATAAGCGCTATGTATGCATCGGCAGTCATTTTCACGCCATCTGGTACTCCCGATGGGCCCAATAATGTTTTTCCAATAATACCACCCCAGATCATTATGCCTCCACCGCCTTGTTGGCGTCTTAAACGCTTATGGCGATTCTGTCCGTTCATAACCCAGCCTTTGCACCATCTATCTGGCCCATCAAGTGTTGCTCGAGTCTCGTCTGTGAAGACAACTTTAGAGAAGTCAATCTTCACATTGTCCTCGGCCTATTTCAATCGATTTTGAATGCGATTTCTCTTCAACGGAGGCTTCGATACAGGTTTGACTGTTGTTGATACCGACACCGAGTACTTTTAGACACAGTAGGATACCCAATGCGACTGAAAAGCTCTTGGCTGGTAAGTCCAGGGTTATTCGTGGCCTCTCGTTTAAGTCGTGATATGAAACGACGTGAAATAACCCTTGGCGTGCCTTTATCTGCCCTTTTGCGTACTTGTGTAGGGTCGGCGGTGAACTTTTTCACTGTTTGATGACACCTCCCTATCATTTTAGAAATTTCTAGGGTAGATTTACCTTTTGAGAGTTCTGAGGTGATAGTTTTCTTTTTAGCATTACTTAAACTGCTTTTATGGCCCATCTTTTTTACTAAATTCTTACACTTTTCTAATAATTTGGCACATTCAAATCACCGTGCTAACAAATATGGCGCCAGTTTGTTTACATTGCGCAGATCAGGTCGAAAATTTCAGTGATTGCGCAGGTCAATGTATCTATTCATCTTAAGTGCGCAAGGGTTTAATTAGTCCTTCAGTTTTTTCATGGTAACTCTGGTTTATATCGTCTTCAATGAGTCAAAAATATTTGATATTGAAAAAAGTTCTCAGATGATTAATGGAGAGAAGTTTAGTTTTACATGCATTAAAACTATCCAGTCATTTTGGGCATCGGTTGGCATTTTGACTTTATTGAACTTATCAGACTTACTATCGTAACAGACAAAAGTGACAAAAACACAGGCAAAACACTAAACTCAATGAGACACATTTCAAAAATAAATAATTTTTAAAAGCGTAGAATTTCAGTGTCTTTTCGCCATTGTGAGCATGTATAGTCTAATCAACGTGAACATCACTTTACTCCGATGACGTCCTAAAGGACAAAACACGCCAAATGCGTCAACACACACGAGCGAACACACATAAATACATACATAAATATATATATATATATATATATATATATATATATATATATATATATATATATAACTAGACTCGTTTCGAAAAAACCCTTGCATTTTTTGATTTGCTAATCAAATCAATCTCGAGGAAAAAAAAGGTTTTAAAAAAAGAAAGAGCTACAAACATGAACTTCTGTCGACAAAAAATCGCACAGATGCAGGTCTGAAGCCCAATGAAAAAACCCCGACACGAGTAAACAACTAACAAAAGAGCTCAATACAACCTAGATACACCAAGTGAACCAGACAAACCTACCTAGGTTTCACCCAAACGGATCGTCAGGGAAAGTCAAGCTAACGAGGCAAAGAGAAACACATATTTATAGGCGATAGCTAAAATCATACCACGCATGGGAGCGTATGATGGAGCAGAGGTGTGCGAGGTAGTAGGGTGCCTGCTGCTCCGTAGGCTTAATGAATATATAGACTTTAATAACCATGGGTTATACCGCGACGACGGTTTAATCATAGTGGATAATAGTAACCCTCAAAAATGTGACAATATCCGTAAAAAACTGCACTGATTTTTAAAAAATTCGGATTCTATCTCGATATAGAAACTAATTTGAAAATTACCAACCATCTAGATATTACGTTGAATTTACAAAATGGCACAATATCCCCGTATAAAAAAGAAAACCAAGAACCCCAGTATTTACACATAAAATCTAATCACCCAGCCCATATCATAAGGCATATTCCTAAAAATATTGGGTATAGACTTTCTACTAATTCCTCCAATAGGGATATTTTTGAGGCCAACAAAATAAGTTATGAGGAAGCCCTAATTAAGTGTGGACATAAAAATAAATTAGAATATATTAATATAAATAACCATAACAGTACTCAGAATAAACATAATAATAGGCAAAGAAAGATTTTATGGTTCAATCCTCCTTTTAATTTAGCAGTAAAAACTAAAATTGGCAAGATATTTTTTAATTTATTGGAGCAACATTTCCCCCCACCCCAAAAAAAGAAAAAAACTGAGTTACATAAAATATTTAACAAAAACAATGTAAAACTTAGTTATTGTTGCATGCCTAACGTAGGGACTATAATAAATGGATTGAATAAGAAAAAAACTAGGAATAACCCACGTAGTAATCCTCCTACTTGTAATTGTAGAAACAAAAACATCTGCCCATTACAGGGAAAATGTCAGCAAGAATGCGTGGTGTATCAAGTGAAAATTTACAAAAATAGTGAGGATACTAACCCTAAAACATACATAGGTTCTATTCAGGATAAATTTAAAAAAAGATATTATAACCACACGAGTAGTTTTAAAAACGCAAAAATTAAACATAGTACCACGTTATCTACCTATGTATGGAAAACTAAACAAGAAGATAATATAGACCCCATCCTTAAATGGAAAATATTAAAAAAATGCGCAAAATATAAAGCAGGCCATAAGTTTTGTAAATTATGTACAGAGGAAAAATTAGCCATAGCTTTATATGATCAACTTAACCAGCTATTAAATTCCAAAACTGAAATCCTTAACGTATGTAGACATAAAAAATCTTGGCTACTAAATTAGACAGTTTCCCGTTATTGACATTCCACATTAATGTTCGTGTGTTGTGTTTTTTTTTTGTTTTTTTCCCTCCCCATTTTCGTTGAATGAATATTTTACCCCCCACCCACTTAGGTTTGTGTTTGTGTTTGTGTTTGTGGTTTTTTTGGTCACGTGGTATGATTTTAGCTATCGCCTATAAATATGTGTTTCTCTTTGCCTCGTTAGCTTGACTTTCCCTGACGATCCGTTTAGGTGAAACCTAGGTTGGTTTGTCTGGCTCACTAGGTGTATATATATATATATATATATATATATATATATATATATATATATATATATATATATATATATATATATATATATATATATATATATGTACATATACACATATATATATATATATATATATATTTATATACATATATATACATATATATATATACATATATTTATATAAATATATATATACATATACACACACACACACATATATATATATATATATATATATATGTGTGTGTGTGTATATATATGTATATATATATATTTTAATTTCGATTATAGGTGCAGTTCAATTTATAATTACATGAATCATTCATACAAAATCAAATATAGAGGTTAATGATTTAAATGGCGAGAATACATCTTTGCAAACAATTTCAATAAGGTACAATAACCCCGAACATGTATATGAATGATATGATCCCTGTTTTTAAATTACAGTTGCATATAAACAGGGATCATATCATTCATATACAGGTTCGGGGTTAGTGTACCTTATTGAAATTGTTTGTATTCTCGCCATTTAAATCATTAACCTCTATATTTGTTTTTTGTATGAATGATCCATGTAATTATATATATATATATATATATATATATATATATATATATATATATATATATATATATATTGAAAACTTTTTTTCAATGAAAATTTATGTCTGCACTCTTTGCTTATTCTGTTCGCCAACACGATATAACCACACAGGGGTCCGAGAAATAGAATTTCCTTATTTCTCGCACCTTCAGTCTGCCTTTCACATTGACTATCTTAATGTGACTCACACATAAAGTTTCCCTTGAATGCCCTGTACATAGAGATGCCTTGAATTCTATGATTTATGGTGGAAGCTAGTTTTTATTTTATTTGGTTTCATTCTGACAAGTGCCTTGGCTCGCTATCAGAAATGAAGCCGAATAATGAAATATGAACAACGCCATCTTTAGTGGATGCAGAGGTCAGGACAGGTAAAAACAGTGAGTGTCAACGGGCAGCACTAAATAACGACTTTCACCTTAACTGAATTCGAGACGGAGGTGAAAGCGGAAAAGGATGTTTTGCAAGACAGCCTCCAAAACGGAAAAAAATATATTTTCATTCAAATAGACACATCACATTTAGCGAGATACAAATGTACAAAGCTTTCACGGAGTTAATTTCACAAATACGAGGCAAATAATGAGGAAAAAGCATAACATATGCAGTGCAGGTTTGAAAGTTTAGCAGCTCGGTTTATGCTCAAAATCTGATTTTATGATGAAATTTATTTGGAATCGCTCTTTGGTCTGGTAAAACAATTTTCACTAATACACATTTCTGTATCAGTTTTTGGGTGCATGTATCAATAACAAACTATTAGTCATCGCTTATGGTAAAACTTTGATATATGCTTAGATAATAACACCTGTTGATGATAGAAGTAAACATTCCCTGTGTATTCAACTATCAGAAGCTAAATATGTATCGATTTGAAAACACCTGTTTGTCAATATATTTACAGCTATCACTCTACTTTATTTGGCGTTTATTGATTTGTCAGCTTCAGACAAAATATTTTTTCTATATTTACCGACAAATAAAAACAAATACTTTGTACTTATTTCTATCGTTAATCGATTAAAATTTCAATTTTAGTATGCGCATACACATCCGTAGTTGGGCTTACATAAAAAGATGATGATTGATATAAAACTATACCAACCTACTAACACACGCACACATACACATATATATATATATATATATATATATATATATATATATATATATATATATATATATATATATATATATATATATATATGTATGTATTGACGTATATCTCACGTAAATATATGCGCGTGTGAATGAATATCGAAATATCTACCTGTCCGTCATTTCTTTCTTATCCATGCGCTTTTCTCTAAGTGCCTCTGATCAATGTAGAAAAACAGGCTATCTGAAATATAATTAACTATCACGGATGACTTCAACCATTGAAAGCAATTTGCAATTCAAGCCTCTCTTTTAGTATATTTTGTACTTACAACATTTGTCCTCCCGGGGGCATAAATATTTATCGATCTTTTCAATTGAGCCATCAAGTTTTATTGCGCGTAATTACCGAATATGATGTGCACCATTTCCCTCATAAACAATTGATTTACTTTAAATATGTAACAAACACTAAAATCGTAAAATATGAATTATACATATTACTGTCCCTTTTTAATCGGTTTATTTATTCAATAGGTTCTGCCTGGCGAACAAAAAGTATTTTCCTTTTGTTTTCTTTCGTTTTTGATAGTCACGTGGTCTCTCGAAAGAAAATAATTCTAACCAAACATCAAATGGTCAGAACGCATGGCATTTCATTTCTGATAGATCCTCACCAAAATCTTGCAGACTTCGGTCAAATTTCAGGATAAGACTTTACTTTAAACCATTTGTTTTCTTATTTTGATCATTGTATTCCCGCTTTCTATATTATTTTCCCTTTTGTTTTATTCAAATGTTATTAATATTTATTTATTATTTTAATTATAATTTATTATTTATTACAAAACTGTACTCTTATTACTTTTTAAATCCCAATTATGTTCAGTTTACATTCTCTTATGTAATACCCATTCGATATTCTTTCTTTTTATTTATCTTTTCTTTTATATTTTTTACTCTTGCTTTTTATTTTATTTTTGTTATTTTTTTTACCTCTTCATTTTCACAATTTCATTCTTCCATTTTTTCTTATTTATTTCCTACTTTTTCGCTTTCTATTCTATCTTCCCATTTTTTCTTTCATTTTTACTTTCTCGATTCTTTTTTCCTGTTTTCTGCTTCATTTTCATTGTTCCTTTTTCCTTTTAACATTTTTTCGAATAATTATGTCCTTCTGTTTCATTTTCCTCGCAGTTTGATTCGTTTCTCTTTTGAATACTTCAATATATTTTCCCAATTTTGCTTCTACTATTTTTTTCTCATCCATTTTAGCATATTTTTTTAAACACATCTGCTTACTATTCATTATTTCCGCTTCCGGTCTTTCTCTCACCACTCTACTGATCATTCCCGCCTGTTCTTTCAGTTTTTAACTGAGAAGTAATATATATGCTAGCATTATATTCCCTCTCTGTAGTATATCGTTCTTGATTTGTCGTTCCTATTTGCTGTCGTCTAATCCAATTGGTTAAACTCATCTTAATTTCCTCCTCTTTAGTCAGTGCCATCCATTTTATTATGTCATTTCAGAAGTCTCAAAATTCGTTCCGCAGATCCCACATAAGTTTTCAATACAAAGAAAAAGTTCATCTTCAAAGTCCAAGTTAATTTATTTCTTAACATTGTATATTGCTGATATGGTTACATTATAGTAAATGATTTAGGCATGGACATATATATTCCCAAAGAAGTGTTATATTAACAGTAGTCACAAAACTATTTACCAACATATATTAACCGTACTCAGTCCCCCCCATATTAATAGATATTTAAATAGTAGTCACATCAACTATATTAATATCACGCTTTGGTGTTGAGATAAACCGGTAATCTTACCTGAATTACAAATGTACAGAGGAAATATTCAATTGTGCGATGCATTACTCTACACTTCTTTCAGTAATTAACGCAATGCAGCTAAAGATGAACGAGTCAGACCTGCCGTCATCATGTTCTCAACATGCTCAATGGAGGACTGATCAGGTGATGATGCCTATCAGGGATTTTTTTTATATTGATTAGTACGGACATTCTCCTGATGGAACAACATACTGCATTTCTGCTGTAGGGATGACAGTGTTCGGAACAAACATGGCGTCTTTTTCCTGAACACAATCTTCAGACTGTCACCGGTCTTTGTAGACCTCAGTGTTAACGGAAAAATCTATCGTTTGTATGTATACTTATATATATATATATATATATATATATATATATATATATATAAAAAATATAGTATTAAGATATGCTATATTTATGAGATAAAGTGCTCAATATCAGAGATAGAGCTCGTGTAAATATAAAAGTGAACATAGAAGTCAACACTAAGAAACAGTCTGTTTCATGTTATATGCAATCGTCAGGCCTGACGATTGCATATAGCATGAAAACAGACTGTTGCCTCTACGTGTTGACTTCTATGTTCACTTTTATATATATATATATATATATATATATATATATATATATATATATATATATTTGTGTGTGTGTTTACAAAACACATTCTGAGATGCTATCTTATTCGTGTTCATATATATCTATAATACATAAAAATACATAAGTTCATTTTATTTTCACTCAATTTATTTAGAGAAATTCTTGCAATCGTCAATTTATAAGAGAATGTTGGTTTAATCAAAATGGTTCCTTCCGAACAATTTAAAAATAGTTTTATTTAATATTTATGAGAAAAACTGCCGAAAGGTGAACAGAAATTAATGGAGTATAAAAATAATCAAATAAAGACGAAACATCTTACAAACAAAGACACAGAAATTATGTTCTTGAAGATCGAGGAATTATGCAAAATACTCAGTCTGAGTAAAAATAGCTCTAATGTTCAGTTAGATTATAGGAAGTGAGTTGTGCTGTTGACGTTTCAGTTTTCACTGCTATTACATACAGATTTTAATATTTACGAATGTATGTGTTTGTGTGTACGCACGTGTGTACGGGCGTGTATGTAAGCGGGTATACATACTGTGCAAACGCGCGCGTGTACGTTTGAACACGAGGGTACAAACATACAGACAACGGTATTCTGGTACACAGATTTGAATCACAGTTGCTTATGGAAAAGGATAGAGCTGGTGGAATTGTATCTGCCGTAATATATAAAGAAGTAATGTAGCTGTGGTAGTGTAATTATAGCAAAATGTGTCGTTAACAGGCTTTAGCATAATGTGTCCATTGAATTATTGGTGAGTCTAAAAAGATGGCGAAACCTGTTTCAGAGGAATAAACTAGCCGCACCCAAAAATTAAGATTTCAGTCGTCTGATCAACTGAAATATATATGGTTGCATGTTAGCGTCGATAGCTTTAGAACTCGGTATATGTTGCAAAACTCTTGGTGATTCACAAGGTTTGTAATTCTCTAACGAAGACAAATATTGTATCACATCACATTTCATTTTACACTTTTGATGTTCAGCTTACTATTCAGCACACTGGATAGATTGCGCCACAGATTTTCAACGACTATTTTGCCTGGTCAGCTCTTTTTTAAAAGCCGATCGATTTTGTGTGAGCATGAATCCTTTCCCGCCAAATTGTAGTTTGATAATGGCGTGAATTGTAATTCTTCTGAATCTAGCACGGAACACTAACGGAACTGCAGTAGGTCTTAACAAGAATTATATACATAATTAATTGTAAACTGTTTGCGTCATTTTACTTACACAAAACGAAATCGCGCTTTTGATAGATTTTCGCCAGAAAATCTTTTCACGCGTGGGTGAAAAGAAAACCGACTTCCGAGCTCAGCAGATTTATTCTTCATTGAATACATTTCATGAGAGATAAATACCCTGCGATGAATAAATACAATTTAATGATAAATTGCACTGAAAATTCCTCGAGAGATGCAATGTGTCATAATTGCTTTCATTCAGGCGAAGAAATGAGCTACACGTTATTAGGTATCTCTCTTTGGGGGCATGATTTGAACCTATGCCCCCGTTTGCGCGAACAATCCGCCGTCTGATCCAGCGCGCTTTAAGCGCTCAGTTACAAAATGCTTCATGATCAAACAAGGATCTTTTGGCCTTTGAAGCGTAATCACTGTCAGATATTCTCGAAATGTCGTATCTGCTGAGTTTTGTACGCGGAACTAAAAACAAAGCAATTTCTAAAGTTTCAGGAATTTTTCTTTACAATCTAGCACACATCTCTACCAAGTCAAACGATCGTTTTTTATTGCATATAACGGTATTAGAGTGGCCAATCCATTTTTATTTTATACAGTATTTATTTCATCTACCAACGATAGATATTATCGTTTACTATTCGATAAAACTTGTTAAACAAAAATGTGCCGGCATGATAAATAAAAATCCATTAATTCTTTAACATGACCACACACACAGACACACAGACACAGACACACAGACACATACACACATACACACACACACACATACACACACACGCCTATATATATATATATATATATATATATGTGTGTGTGTGTGTGTTGAATATATTGATGTGTTACACGTTAACATCGCAAATTCAAAATATATGTGAGAAACTATTTAGAATTTGCGGTGTTAATGAATACTACATCCATAGATATGCACACACTGAAGATTGTCTCAGATGAGATTGAGAGTTCTTTGGAAAATAAAAATTATTTGAAAAAAAATTTCGGAAGTTTTAATAATCATTTTTCTACTGCCACCAATAAACTAATTCATAGACTTGAAATGATAAAAACTAAAATGGACATCACACCTCTACATTGTTTAACCAAACATGACTGAATACATACATACATACATATATATATATATATATATATATATATATATATATATATTCCTATATATTATTCTGTATTTTGTCGTTTCCATCCGTTTTCTGCATTATTCCTTTAGTTTTACTCGAGGTCATTTCTATTTATTTAAATAATTTCGAAATTCACAATTTCTCAGGATTAGCATTTTTTGTGATTCTTATAGTATTTCTACTTACCTCTCTTTCCCTCCTCACTCTTTCTCTCTTTCTCTCTCTCTCCCTCTCCCCCGTCATTGATCTCATTGTTCCTCTCCTCATCGGCAACACCATTTTCTGTTAATCGTACTCAATGATTTTTATCCCAAGGAACTGCCAACATATATTGGGTTTCTTTTAGCATCAAAATTATTGACATCAATGACACAAAAATTCTTACATTCCCCTCAGTAAAATCACAATTATTACTGGTAAGAAAAAATCTATATAATGACTACAATTCCCACTGCGATCGTCAGCTAATATACTCACCGTTGTATCTTTAAAATTATTCCTGACATGAAGATAATTCATTTGATAAAATCCATTATTAATCGAATCGCATCATTTTCTCAGTAATGTTTACCGCAATGTCTGACCATTGACAATCCCTTGTATTTTAATTTTCTAATCAAACATTGAATAGATATACTGAATAAATATCTCCACTTGTCGAAAATTGCGGGATACAATGTTTCTTTATAAATTCATGCAATTATTCTAGGATACTAATGAAGTAGTGTTAATATCAGTAGTGAGAATCACGTTGCAAAATGATAAACATTATCTAATTGGTAATTACTGTTTGTGTGTTCATTCTGAGACCCAACTTTTCGAATTCACTTTTAATGTAATTCATATCTGATGATTTTAATATGTCCCTTTACCCTAGCATCACATGTTGCATAAATAGCCAATAATCACTTTTCATGAAAGTTTTGAGATTAATCATTCTTGTCATTCTATATAGTTCTGCGCGGTAATCTCATCATTAAAACGCTGAAAAGGCAAATCACAATAACTGAAAAAAGTACAATGAAGACACTTTCATCATAATATCATCAACTTAACGATTGTTTGTCACTGTCGTTGGCCCTGATATTAAATCGCCACTTGTTAGGCCTTCATTGCTTTAATTTAATCGTTAATGGCATCATTCATATAATAATTACTAGCATCATGGCCCGGCGTTGCCCGTGATTGATTCAAAAATCGTACGACTCATACAGCAATCGCTATCACTAGACTTAAAATATTTTTGTCCTTCCTTGCCTTTAAAAAAAAGTGCTCTTTGCCGTGCTGATGTTGCTACATGCCTTACTTCTTGCCTCACACTGCGAATTTTTTCTAAGCTCTATACTAAACATTAAATCTGTTACGAAAAATGAACACAAAACGATCAGCTTTAAAAAAAAGGACTCGTAACTGGAAAAACCGAATGAAAAAAGAATGTTAACAACAAATACTTTTTCCCACCCAACACAGTTCTGCGGAATCAGAATCAACGTTGAGTTTAAGCAAGCGAATGAGCCAATTGGAGTAAAGTGCCATGCAGATTTAATTTTTTCCCACTTGTGACGAATGCAGCTATCGATATTTTTTGCATGCTAGCATGCTAGTTAACATTCGTGTCAGTCAGCTGTTGGCTCTCACGCTGGCGAATAGAATCTTCCTGCCTATTCGTGGCAGCCAGCTATAGCCTCTCACTCTGGCCAGTAGAATATGGACGCAAACTACATGAAAACTACTGTAGAAGCGTGAAAATATCGATTATTTCCACTATCGATGGCAGTTGGAAAGTGCAAATTCGGTCTTGGCTTTTCCACTAACTTGGAGCATGTGCATGTAAATTTTGGTGCAAATCCGTCAAAAATTGCGGCCGTGCATTCGTTACACACACACACACACACACACACACACACACACACACACACACACACACACACACACACACACACACACACACACACACACACATCCTGCCTTTTATAGATAGAGATTTTGATATTAAATCAAATTTATCAGAACGTTGATTTTTCGGATATATTCAATCAATATTTTCATTTGCCTTATTCTATTTGGCCTGACTGGGTTCAATGTCCTTCTGTAACATCGGAAAGAAAATAACAATTATCTGCATGAAAATCATTACATATCGTCATTAGTGTTTGCAATATCAGCTCATAATCATTAATGTTACTAACAATTAAATAAAAGAATATTATGGCAAATATTTAAGACGATATCACTTCAGATTTTCTCTTAAGAAATAAACAATGCAAAGCTCAAGACGCACTAAATGTAAAATATTACATTCGAAAATTGAATGTAGAGTCAAGTGTGATATGACTGGAAGAATGACGTCATGTGAATGACGTCATGTGATTGACGTCATATGAATGGAAGAATGACTGGAAACATGGTAGGAAATGTAGATTATGAGGAGGATAAATAAGGATGGATTTTGCCGTAAAGACGTTAGGATTGTAGCATTCAAAGAAATACTCGCGTGTGAATGTCTTACAGAATGGGACAGTTCCTGAAAAAAACGCCTGAATATTGATGAAATGGGGGTGAGTTGATATTAGTAGTATAGTGTGTCTTAGCTCTAAGGAAATGTCCGCGCTGGGGTTAGGGTAAAGAACGGAACTTATATGAACAATTTTTTCTAAAAAATAATGAGATCATAACGACATGATTACTCAAGTAAGTTTTTCTCCACAAGACCGCGTCAATGATTTTGATTTCTATCATTTCTGCAAAGTGAGGATTTAGCAGTTCCAGCCAACCTATGGCTGCAATACTCCATTTTAGTTCTGACACTCGTAAAGATAAATCCTGACAGAAGGAGTCAGGTAATTATTGAAGCAATAAAATGACTCCGATGTTGAAAATATTGTGACATTTACAGCTGGAATTATTTCATCATTTCATTAGTTGCACTCTCTCAAACCAATCTTAATATAAACGTGGGTAGACTCTTTCAACTTCAGGGATTAGCATAACACAATCTTCTTTATTAGATTAGCTTTAAGCAAAGATGAATAATTTTAATAATATTGACTGAATAAATAAAATTAATCAAACAGACAGATTTCAGTAAACATCAAAAAGAGAAATATCTGAGTTTGGCCAACAAGCAAATGGAAGAAGTTTTGTCAGTTACAAATTAATTTTTATTGATAAAATTAGATTCACATTGGATGAACCTGAAATATTATTTCGCTTCTTTATGGTAATAGTCGAATACGTTAGCAAATGTTTTCGACAAGAAAAATTATAATTTTCTTCAAAGGTTAATAAAGTATCAAGATATATGCATTGCATATTGCAGCTTCATAGATATGGATATTTTTATGTGATGCAGGTCACAATCAAAATATATTAAGCAGAGTTATATTATCTAAAAACAAATCTGACTACCTTCTGACCCTGCCAGAAAATGTTAAAAAAAACAAACAAATTAAGCATTAAACTCCAACGACACCAGGTATTAAATCTAATAGAAGTCTTGTGATCCATCGCGAAATGATCTTTACACGTGAATAAAAAAAAATATTCTAACTAATGACATTCTGGGAAGCAAAAAAATTATTGCATTTAATATTAAATTTGGAAGTTTTAATAAAATGAATGAATAAAAAGGTATAATAATAATTTATTCAGGTACATAAGATACTTGGTTAATCAAATCTATGACTCTCTTACTTATATCATATGGATGTATTTATGAATAAGATTGCATGTTGCTTTCTGTTGGTCTCATGAGATTTGACATGCCACAAACAATTTATTTCCAATATATTTAATAAGAGTGCATCAACTACTACGCTGAAACTCAGACGATAAATCATCTAAATTTAAGTATAAGACTATATATACCAGTTCACTTATATAATAAAATGTAGCAAAATGTACATGCGGATACTTCTGAATAATATTATATATATATATATATATATATATATATATATATATATATATATATATATATATATATATATATATATATATATATATATATATATATATATATATAATTTCATCATTTAGAGCTGATGTTAATAAAATAGTGCTGTATGCAAGAAAACAGAGCTCTAAAGTATATATCAATAATGATATATATTTTTCCTCACCGGTAGCATGACCGGTGAGAATATAAAAAAGTGTATATATATATATATATATATATATATATATATACAAACCTCGACTTTTCAGAAGAAAGCCATCTCCAGCCTTCAGATGTATATCAAAAGGCTTCTGGAGACGCTTGAGAGTGATATTTTCATATGATATATATATATATATATATATATATATATATATATATATATATATATATATATATATATATATATATATATATATGTATATATAGATATAAAAGATATATGTTTTAAAAGCATTTTTAGGGCAATATACTTTCAACTTAACCTTCGTTATCAGTGCATTAAAATCTTAGTGGGTATCAATTACGTAGATCGTTTCATCCCAAAATTCAGGTAATAACTTTGTGTTTGGCCGAATAGATGCTCATCTTCCCTCGTATATAATGAATAATATGCAGTTGACATTTAAATTTTTACTTACCTAATATATATGCGGCGGTGTGTGTGTGTGAGTTAAATGTTAAGTAAATGCCTGAGTCATCACTTGGAAATAAATGTAATGGCCATAGAAATAAAGAAATTTACTTTTTTCCTGTTTTGACATTTCCCTAAAATTGATTTTATTTTAATTACGTTTTATTTTTCTTTCTCTTAAAGGCTTTCTATTTCTCATGTCTTTTCCTGTCAAAAGACACCCCCTCTCCCCCTCTTTTCATTGCACGTCGTTTGCGCTAAATGTTTCAGGCTGCTTCAATTTGCCCCTTGGCGTGTTATCTTTTTCAAAAGACGTCAAATGCACAAAGAGAAAAGGAAATCTTTCTTTACGTCTCCCTTTTAAGTTTAATGTTTCAAATGATTCATCAGGGTAAACATTAATATCAAATGAACATCTTAACTAAATATATACGATGGGCTTCTTTTCCGTACAAAAGTGTGAATATATATATATGTGTTTGTGAGTGTTTGTGTGTGTGTGCGTGTATATATGTGTGTGTATATTTACATAAATATACATATATATATACACACAGACATATATATCTTCAAATATTTTACAGGTAGACACACACACATATATCTTTATAAATGTGAGTATAATATATTGCACATAGAGCGCTAGCTAAAAGAGTGTTCGATGTAAAACAACAGAGTTATATATATATATATATATATATATATATATGTATGTATA